TAGAAACGACAGTTTAAGTAGCGCCGCGGGCATTTACAGTTGATCGCATTCCTTTGTCACTTTATCCTAGTGCGTCTCACGGGCGTTATAAACGGCGCATCTCAATGTTTGTTACAGAATAATGATCCCCACACTTCCCCCTTTCCGAAAATGTGCGTGTCACCCACTTTAAACACGTTTTGGAAAATCGGCCGGTCGGCCGGCCGGACGGCCGGACGGACGGCCGGACGGTCGGTCGGTCGGCCGGTCGGCCGATGCTTATTTTGATAACCCCTCGGTCGAGGCGGTTGCTGCCTTGCACGAGTATTTTGGACTTACGCACATTAAACTGGACGGTTCAGTCCAATGTGTAAAGGTGTAACAAAGAAAGGTATAACACCAACCTAGCAAAAATGTGTTGTTGCCTCGCTTCGCTACCAGTCTGACTCTTTCCACTCGAGCGCCTCTTTTCGCAATGCCGAATATGCAAAGCCCCCTTTTATTATTTTTTGACGGGTTACAGTGCCCGTCCCGCCCACCTACCTGCAGCCCACGGCGTATCATGTGAGCCATTGAGTGTATAGCAATGTCGCTAAGACACTCGACTCTTCCCAGTATTCTCAGCGGAAACAGAAATAGAGCATTGTGTCAATTATGGTACGAGTTCTTTTCGTTGGTGCAAAATGCGCAAATTGCCAACATCTGTTTGTGGCGTGGCGCTTTCTAGGCGCGATTTTAGGGGGGTGTCAGTCTTGAAAGGCCCGCCTGGAAAGTGGGCAGCACCCCCCGCTCCCCTCCGTCACCCGGACCTAAGTCTATGGGTTTGTGTTGATGCGCTAAAATCAATGTCTGACTATTTTTTGGGGGGAAAGGGGAAACTTTTAGGATAACAATTGAGGAAAAGGACCCCTCCGATTTTTGATGGAATCTTCTCAAAAACTTACAGAAATTCCCACAGTTTTTGGATTTGGAGTTTCCCTCGAGGCTTCCCACCTTTCCTTCATAAAATCGTACATTATTTTGACGACACGTGGCACACACGCGGCCGGCACGCACGGCACGACCCTCTAGAACATTCGCCCTTTGAACGGGCTCAAACAATAGTCTTTGTCAGTTTGTCGAGCACATGCCTCGGCACCGCCCCTGCGCCGCGCCGCCCTGGCTGCGGCGGGGGCGGCGGCGGCCGCCCTCCCCTCCGCCCGATAAAGGCATGAGCGGCAGTCTTATTGATTTAACACCTTCCGGTTGTGTGTTTTGGCGATGCGTGTGCGCTCAGCCAATAATGGACCCGTTTGCAAACTTCCTCTTATTGTATTTTGCTCTCGTTGGCGCGCGCGGGCGCTGCTCGTGCACGAGCATGCTTCGTGCCATGCTCTGCCTCTCTGGTTGTACCGATCAAGTTTGTGCGAGTCATCCAATGAGGCGTATGTAGGGGCAAAGTTGGATACTAACGCTGGATGGCCAGCGTTTATTTTGGACAACTTGAAAATATAGGGTGGGTGTTTTCATTCGGACTTTTCTCTGGCTATACTGTACCGCATTCAGGCGTGCGTGCGGGCTTGCCTACCGACTCTCAGCGAGCGGCCATAAGGATAAGGCCCCGTGCGAGTATGCACCCACCCGCACCCCTGGATGCGATGCAGAAAACCCCCCCAAAAATCCGTTGCAGAACACCCACCCTGTCAGATTCGGTACATATTCACTTCAACAAACTAAAAACAATCACATTTAAAGTCGGAGGTAATAAAAAAGGG